TTCACTGAGTTACGCAAGCCCCTTCGCCACGACAAGGCAGTGATCCATGAAGGGGAAGCAATCAGTAGCCAGTATTAAATTCAGGAGCCAGATGTACTTTAAAAAATTAATAGATAATAGAAAACAACATTCTCACATATGAAGAATAGAAGACAGAGCATCTGTTCACATCAGAGCTGCATTTTAGAGTTAAACTAAATCAACAAAATAAAAAAAATATTGAAAATGGACTTACAATGGATGGAAATGTATTTGTATGATAATTCATCATTAACATTTGTAGATGAATAAGAATTGTTTAAAATAATCGTATGTGATTGCATCATATGGTAAGCCTTATGTAAAAATAATAGGTCTTGTACGTAAGATGATTTCTCTGAAATCAGTATCCAGTTAAAAAAAAAGAAAGTCGACTTGCTGTTATATTGACCATTGAATGTGAAGTTTTTCAACAGGGGGTATTTCTGTTAAAAGACACCCTTTTGGTTGTTAAGCCTGCATCGAGTAGAGAGGAAAAACCCACCTTTGCAGATTTGTTCATTCTTTTGATATATGTATTCTTCAAATATAATTTCTTGGTATTTATTTTGGAAAATCTCTTTGTGAAGGAAGAATAAAACACCTTTGTGGAGAAGAAAAGTATGCAATTTTTATTGAGAATTTTGTGCAGCATATCAAGGGTGGCATTTCAAAAGTATGTGACACAAAGACTCAAAGAGGTCCTGATTGTAAGATAGTGCTATGGCAACCAAGCTGTTTATTCTGCCGTAGTCTATTTGTGGGTATAAGAGGAGTGCTTTTTGGGCCATATATGGCTCATAGACTGCAATTTCTAGTTCTTTAGTATAGAACTTCAGTTTATATTGTTGCTTCCTTCAATGTAATAACATCACCCACCAACTCAAAGATTAAATTATGGGGATAAAAAAACCATTCATAAACATTTGCTTGTTTGTTAAAAAATAATAATTTTACACGTGCACCAAGACTTCTTCATTCTTTATTCAGTGATCAGCACTCTTTAGGTTAGAGCATTGTTTTTGTCCTTTGGGTTGTACCCCAATGAATTTATAATTTTTTTTCTTATTCCAGATTTCAGAAATATTGGTCCAGAAATTAAACCAAAATGCCATCCAGTTTGACTTAAAGCCTGGGGTTAAAATCCTTGTCCATGCTGCTCATTTAACAGCAGGTTGGTATTGATTCTTTAACAACGTATCTAGCATTGCTGACACAATTAATTGACAATGATTTGATGATAGAATTGCAGATCCTATATTCAGAATATACAGAATATTTTCTACTTTTATTGACATGTATTTAAAATAGTTCTTTGTGATCAAATGCTAGACTGATATTGTAGTACAAGATACAGTGGTACCTCTACTTACGAACTTAATCCATT